TAGGCAAATGTATTTCAACATCTTCACAAAACTTCTCTTAATAGTGTGAAGAAAAATTATACAGTGCTGAGGTTGCTCTAAATGAATGTGCCCAGTGTTTTGGAAGCTGTCTGAGTATGTATCACCAGCACAAAGCAGCTGTTTACTCCTGAATGTTAGCCTGTAGGAATGCATGCCAGCTGTCAGGTAATTAGGTGCTGTCCTTATTCAAAGTAAAGAAATAAAGTTGTGGTCCTGCAGTTCAGGCCCTCCCAACACCAACTACACAGTGTAATTCTACAGGTGAGGGTCACATTTCTGAGAAATGTTCAAAGGTAGCCTGTGTGAAACTTGAGGAGTAGACAGGCCACGTGTTGGCAAGGCAGGATTTGAACAAATAGATTTCACTGCACAACTATCAGTCATCACTGATCATTCATCAAGGAAAAAAATGTTAACTGTCCCTAAGCAGTTTGCCATTAGATAACTGGAAAAGAAGTGAGGAAGTGAGAAGGACCAGGCTCCCTTCAGCAGGCTTGTTTTGTGTTTGGCTGATGTTTCTGTCTTCCTTGTCCCTCTCTGTTCCAGGAACCTGCTATAGGATCTGCTGTGATGTACTAAACTTTGACTTCTCTACTGCCAATAACACACTGCCTAAGGCTGTACACTAGAGTGCCTTTACTTAACAGCCATTGTGTATGTCCAGCTGAAAATGGACCCTCAAGAACCCACAATGCCTCAGTTATAGGGCTTCGTTTGGATACCTCACTGAGAAAGCTGTCCAAGTCTTCAGCATTGTGGTCTGCTAAAGGAAACTCTGCCTTAAAGTTCTCACAAGACTCTAGAAGGGACGCTGAGTTTCAAAAGCAAGGCTCCACATTTTAAGATGCACTTTTTCTCCCCATTGATTGTACTAAAGTATGTCGTCTTTAAACTGCAGTATGTTTTTGTACACTCAGTCAATCACAGTTACAGGCCAATATTTCATACCGAAAGAGTGAACAAAGCAGACCTGTGATCCACATTTGCTGGCCTCTTATACATGTAGGCATCTGTCTTGTCGAGCAATAAGAACAACTCTGTGCAGTGTACGCTGCTTTTAGCTGCTTGGTGAGAGTGGAGGATCCGTGTACCTAACTGCTCCCCAGGAGCCAGTGGAAGTTTTTGACAAGGCAGGTGGGAGGAAATGTGATGTGCAAAGAACTTCTCTGCTCACTCAGAGTACCTTTGACAGAGTTAATGTTCTAGCTCCAGAGCTGTGTGTTCTGCTGTTGGAGATGGGGGTGGGGGGGAGCATGGATGTCATGATGAGCCATGAATTGGTGGTACGCAGCGCATGTGGACCAGATGTCTGTGGGGTTACAGTCCTGGCATCTGGACGCATCTGAGTACTGTTGTGAAACCACCACCTTTGTCTGTCTCGTTCTTCTTGGTATCATTGTCTGCTTGGTGGTGTCCAACCACTCTGTACTTCAGAATCTGTTCTGACCAAGTCTTTAAGATTGCAGAAAGAAAGTAAAGGCGCTGTGGATGAGATCTCTGCTGACTGGCTGGTGGCTGTGAGGTGGCTGCAACCTGTAAGAGATTCCCTTCTGCCACTTCCTGTCTTTTCTGAGGAGGAGATAAATGTAGCCCAGATGTCTTTTCCTTTACCCATCCGTAGCCAATGTGATGTAGTACCTAGGGCCTGTCACTGGTGCCTGCTACGATTGGACCACTCTGAATTGGACTGAGTCACCAGATTTCTTCTTTCCTTTCATGAGACGCTAGCAATGTGCACTAAACCCTGGAAGGCCTTTGAACAGGTGCCCATGAAGGAAGACGCTGCTTACATGATGTCCCTCTCACCCTTTCTGGGAAGGGCTGTGCCAATTTGCAGTGCTTTTTGTTCTGGGGTGTGCAGAGGAATTTGTTAGAGAAGGTAAGTGTGAGGCCCGTGAATCTTTTATAGTCCACATAATGCAGTGCAAGTACGCATATGCAGACTGGGCTGATGTGAGTCATGCTGTGAAGAAGGACATGAACTGCTAAGTTTCCCTTCAGCATGAAAGGTCAGAGAACACCTCCCTGAGGTGAGATGTCTCTGTCCTTTGCTGACAGGGACCCGAGCAAAACCTAATTCTCTGAATACAGCAGGGCCTAGAGGGCAGGTGAGACTGGTAAGGAAGAGCTAGATGGGAAGGCTGGAAAACAGCTCCAGTCACATATCCACCTCCAGTATTTGAAGCTGAGCCTGTCAGCGTGCTGCTATCCAGCCATAGGTAGTGACATGTCAGAATATCTACAGCCATCTTCCCACCTAGGAGGCATAAGTGATGCTCCATCTCTCCAATGAATTTCCATCTGCCGAAATCTGGCTCGATATGTTTATTCTGGGTGAAATTACACCTTCTCTTACTCTCACACAATACCAGTTCTCCGGAACTGGTTTGCTCAGATGTGAGGGCAGAATTTGGCCCGCTCTGTTTAATATATAAGTATATATATAAAAATAGACTTTATTTATATATGCAATCCATAAAGGAGATTAAACAGAGTAGGATGCCTAGGAATTTTCTGTTATGCAGTCTCCTCCTCCTCCCTTGACTGTTCTCGTATATGTATACAATACATTCCCAGGTTCTGGTTAACGCAGGTATGTGTGTTATGAGATGTCATTACTGGTGGTTGGTCTACATATTCGTCTAATAATAATAACTAATATTGTGTATGATGCAGAAATGACTAATTTTAATAGAATAACTCTTTGGCTTTTGTTCTGTTAGTGTGATTTAAAGCCAACAAAGTTTGGAATAGGTTGTTTTCTTTAAGAGGCATGAAAAACAACTATTATCGTGTTACAATGTTAAAATATTCAGTCTTCTTTGACAGAAAAATGTGTACTGTGTAGGCATTGCAAAAAAAGAAAAAAAAGAAAAAAAAATCCCACCTGCTACATGGCATTTGAATTTTTACAAATGTTTATTGTGCCAAATATGTGCAAAGATATAATTTACTGTTTTAAAAAAATCATAAAAGCATACGTTATAGCACACAAAGGATTATTTTGTCATCAAGTGATCTCAATCTTTAGTGTTTATATTTAGATTAATTTTTATAAATGAAAATATTTTAACGGGTAAAATGAAGGCGATATGATCAATTTGATTGAGTCTGGGTGGATGTTAAGCTTGCCTTGTTGTTGTTATCTGCATACTCACCAAGAATTATTGTCAAGAGAAATTATAAAAGAGTAAAAGCAATTTATGAAAAAAATGCCTTTCCAAGGACTTGATTCATAAAGAAAGCACAAAAGCTCTCCTCTGTAGTGTGGATTTATGTGCCCTTTGGTCAGGAAACGCTCTGCCCACGCTGCTGCACCAAAACAACCCATTCTCAGTTAGATGCAGATGGGCAACTCAAAGTCCTCTTGCTCAGCTGAAGGGAGAAATACCCCCTACCAGCTCCAGGTCAGGTCATTTTCCACTGAGGTGGAGCATCCATACCTTGTTGACAGACCACTCACAAACAGAAACAAGAGTTGAATTATCTGCTATAATTAATTCAACCTTTATTAAATTTCAGTAGTGATTCTAACAAAACACAACTAGGAATGTGAGTTCATTCTAGTTTGTCATCTGCAGTGTGACTCATTAACCATCATTCATTAGCTGAAATTGTAAACTATCTTTTCTGGATGCATGCCGTAGATTAAACTGCATTTGAATAGTCTTGCTGTGAGTAGTTATCAAGATTAAACATACTGCAAATAACACTTCTTCTAAAATGAGTATAACATGAGTTAATTACCATGGCAAACATGAGTACCCAGCCACAACACAAGGCTTATTGATGTGGTCTAATGTTGCCATTCGTACATTGTGATGCTCAGAGAGCAGCTTTAGCTTGATTAGATCATGTATTTAAAAACAACAACAGACAGTTTAGGCCCTTATCTCTGTTGTACCTGCAGTAGGCACAGAACTACTCCTAAGAGTTTAATTAGCCAATTTTCTTAGAACCACAGAATACTTTAGGTTGGAAGGGACCTCAAGGACCATCAGGTTCCAACCCCCCTGCCACAGGCGGGGTTGCCAGCTGCTACATCAAGTACTAGATCACATTGCCCAGGGCCCCATCCAACCTGGCCTTGAACACCTCCAGTGATGGGGCATCCACAAACTCTCTGGGCAATTTGATCCAGTACCTCACCACTCTCTCAGTATAAAACTTCCCCCCAACATCTAATCTAAATCTAACCCTCCTTTAGTTTTAAACCATTTCCCCTTGTTCTATCACTTCCTACTCATGTAAAAAGTTGGTCTCCTTTATGTTTATAAATGCCCTTTAAATATTGGAAGGCTGCAATGAGCTCTCCCCACAGCCTTCTCTTTTCCTGGCTGAGCAAGCCCAGTTCCTTTAGTCTGTCTTCATAGGAGAGGTGCTGCAGCCTTTGAATCATCTTCATGGTCCTGCTCTGGACCCTCTCCAAAAGCCCCACATCCTTCCTGAGTTGGGGGCCTCAGACCTGGCCCACATGGGGCCTCACAAGAGCTGCGTAGAGGGGAACAATCACCTCCCTTGTCCTGCTGGCCACCCCCCTTCTGATGGAACCCAGGATACCATTGGCCTTCTGGGATGCAAGTGCACACTGCTGGCTCATGTTAAATTATTCATTAGCCAGGACCCCTAAGTCTTTCTCAGGAGGGCTACTCTCAAGGCTTTCTCCTCTCAGTTTGAGTACACACCTGGGATTACCTTGACACAAGTGCAAAACCTTACACTTTTTTTTTTATAGTTACTATTTTTTAATTTCCTGTCCTTCCTCAGGGAGAAGATAGTTATCTTTGACAGAAGCTCCTTTTTGTTCATTAATATGTTTTCAGCAGCACAGCAAGGATGATAAAAGGCCAGAGTGTATTTCAGGGCTGCATTCCCACAAGTGAATGTTAACAATCTGCATAAAAGCTACAGATTTCATGCTGTTAATGCAGGTACATTAAAAAGTAATGAGAGCCTTTTTTCTTTCATCCAACCATTGCTTTTTATTTTTACATACCAAGAGCCATTGACTAAAATGTGACAGGAAGATTTCATGGTACACTAACACTGCTGAGTTTAAATCCCAGCACAGGAGCTCTTTGGATTTTGGGTAAGCGTAATGTTACAGTGTGCAGCATCATCACAGCTCAGAGAAGGGAATGGTGGTGATTAAAGAGAGAATAAACACTTTTTAAAGCTATGGTTACACTTAGTGCTGGAGTCAACGCGTTGCCTTTTACCTCCACAAACCTCAATGTGTTTCTTTTTGAAGGAATTTGCCAGAGCAGAGAGAGGAGCAGCATGGGATTGCCAGGCAAAAGCAGAGCCCCGAGGTGCAGGGCAGGGGCAACTCGGAGAGCAGAGGTTAGGTCACCGCCTCGGGACACAGCCATCACGAGTCACTGTCCTCTGCATCCAACACTTCCTGCTCCCACAGGGCGTTCAGGATGAAATCCAGGCACCTGCTCACAGGCCTTAAGCTTCCACGGCCACCTCTCAGCTGCCTCTTCCCAAACCGACCGATGGGTCGAACGCCACGTCCCATGTACCAAAAGGGATCGATCTCGGGGCCTGGAATTCAAAGCACTGGGTTGATATTTTTTTTTTTTATGAAATGCACTCATAGTTGGCTTTGTAGCCTAGTGTAGTTCTACAGAAGGTGTGGAGAAGGTACAATACTAAGGTACAGTGTCAGTGAAAATGAATGAACACTGGAGGTGATGCAACCCCAAGGAAATGCCAAATCATTCCAAAGACAGGGGTGTCAGGAACAGGACTTCAAATGCGTAAGGAAGTATTTGAGTCACACAACAGGACTTCAAATGCGTAAGGAAGTATTTGAGTCACACAAAAGCCTCACACAAGGCAGCAGGATTTACTCCTGTGAGTTTTGCTGCTTGAACTCAGAAAACCAAACAAAAGATCCACTGTGGCTGTACATTTCTCCACACAGTGTTTAGCATCCCGCTGCCTGCCAAATCCCAAGTCATTTCTTTATTTTGACTCAAGGACCTAAAAACCAAAGCTGCCCACATCTCCAGTTCTTTCTGTAAGGAGAGGGCTGTCCCCTGATGAGCCTGTGGGCCTTACTCCCCACATGCACTTCTTGCTCACTGCACTTTCAACCATAAGCCTGCTCTGGGCAGCCTGGTCTGGTTGTTGGTGACCCTGCACACAGCAGGGGGTTTGAAACTAGATGAGCATTGTGATCCTTTTCAACCCAGGCCATTCTATGACTCTATGACGTTTCCAGACAGAAATTAGGATCTGTGTGAAGCACATTTAAGTCACTGACGCTTGCTTTATTACTTCTTAAAAGTAAACATTAATTGTCACAGATCTATGGAACATAGCTGAAAATAAGCTGTTAAAATAGTCAATATAAACTGCCTTGCACTTTGTCAGTCTTTTGTACATCAGTGTGTTCTCAGGTATTTATCAAAAATTGCAGTATTTCCCTTGACAAATTCAGGGCTATAAGGTAGAGATTAACATCTGTATATGCTCTTAAAAGTGTAAATTGAAGAGCAGGATCTCCCCCCACTGTTTTACCATAGAAACACCTGCAAGGATTTGCTGTTGAACTCTGCCTGGCAGCCTGACCCTGATCCCTTGTTGTACCAGGGGCCACAGGATCACCATCACACTGCATCAGGTGAGAGTCATACTTACTTCTGTTGTCTATTTGATGTTTAAAAGGTCTGCTCTGTCTCGAAGCAAAGCTGAGGGATACCAAGAGCACCAGCACGTAGATGGTGACCAGCTTTAAGTGCTTTGGTGACCACTGGGGATGCGGTGTCCGCAGGACCAGATGCCACATGGTGGAGTGGTGGTAGGGAGTCTGTGAGGAGGAAAGTGGACACAGGGACATCAAAGCTCTCAAGGTGAAGGAAGATGTCAGTTGTGACTGCACGTTCCTATCAGGGCCATTTCATGACTCAGTGCTGACGCTGGGGATGTCCTGAGTATTTCTGTTTAAAGACTGCTGTGAACCATTTACTGAGTTAAGATGTGCAGCTTGAGCTTTTCCTCAACATCCATGAAAGCCCATGGCACAGCTTCACAAGACATAGAATCCTGGCCCTGAGGTTGCCACTGACCATCCTCATGGCCTTTCATATGACTGTGGGCAGTGGACATCAGTGTGTTCTGGCCACTATCTCCATCACCCTTTCCCCATCTGTGAAATACCTGTAATACCTTTCACATTTATATTTTAAACTCTCTCTTTACATGTAAATACATTAGAAAATCTTCTTGAAAAGAAATTATCTTCCTGTGTCAGCTTTCACAGATAGCAGGCAAAACTGTGATTTCCAGTTTTGTTTCCACTGTTAGTTCTCCCAGTCCTGTAAATGCATCTAGATGCAACCACCAGAAGGTGCTGGGTCGGGAAAACAACATCCAGGAGGTACCTGATCCATCCTCCACTTACTGCTACACCCCGTATGTGTGATATTTTGGTCAAGCTTCATCACATTTCTCCCAGCTGTAATGCTAGGAGCCTACCTTGTGCAAAATCTAACTGTATTTGACATTCTGGAGCCTCTGCCAGTGGAAGCTGGGAGAAGCCCTGCTTGCTTAAGCGTCACTTAGAGATGTACAAGTACAGAGCTACAAGAAATACCCTTGGCTATGCCCACACAGAAGCTGCTCCCTGTGTAAGGGTGGGATTTTCCCCGTTTCTGCCTCAGCACTGTTATGCTCAAGTTTTAGCTCACTTTCAGTGTGGGCAGAGCAGGAATGAAAAACTCTCGATACGAGTTGTTCCCAAGCATGCTGCAAGGGCAACAAAAGAAAAAAAACAGAGAATCTGACCATGTCTTTCATTGCAATGCAAAATCAAAAGCTCCTTAACCCCTGATGTTCAGTGCAAGTGTATTTTTTCCCTACTCTGGCAGTTGCTTAGCAGGCAGCTTAGAGGAAAGTGATTTTAACCAGTAATTTTAACAGAACTGAGAGTTGATTTTTTACACTGAATATCACAGAGGCAACCAGTACTAAATGTTCTTTACGTGTAAAACAACATGGGATGCATTCTGTGCACCAATTCCAGCTGGTGTACATCTCAGTGAGACAAAAATGAAGGTGCTTAAGGAATCTCTCCCGTGTGCTTACACACACACAGCTGCAGACAGGTTTTCTGGATTACTTGCTGTCTGGTTTTGTGTACAGCTTTTCTGGGAACTTACTGATGGCAAATGGCAAAAATAAAAGGAAGAGCTTTTAGCACAGTTTTTTCCTAAGCAATGCTGTGTCTCAGCATCCAACAGCTGGTCCTCTGCCTGAATCAGCCAGTCAGACTGCTGCAGTGTGTTAAACGTTCAGTTTGCCCCCTGACCTGGTTAGGGTTTCAATGAAGCACGTGGCTCTCCTCTGAGCAATATGCAATGCCCAAATAATCAGGGGGCTCAGCATCTCCAATCCTCCATAATTCTTCCTCCTTCTAATTTTTCTACCTCTGCTCATATGGGGAGAAACCGAGGTAGAGGTGATGCCACCAACTTGACCCCAAATGATGCCAAGCAACTCCAACCCCAGCTCCTTTTTGTACTATTCTCTAGGCACAAAAGAGAAGTACAAAACCCTGTTTACCTGCTCACAGGCCTTTGTGTTGGCCCTGTGATCTCCTCAGGTCTGGATCTTCCTGATCCCACAGTCTACCAGTCTTCTTCCAAAGGGAAAACTGTAAAAACAAGACTTGATGTGGTCTCCTTGCCTGCTTCTCATTTCCAACCATTAAACGATCACAAAGAAGCTTTAAAAATGCACCAATTTCAACCAAACATGACGCAAAAATTTCAGGAACAATTTTGCTCCTGGAGCACAGCACAAAGTTGGCACCTCTGCCAATCCAGTCAACCTTCTGCTTGGTCCCTGTGCAGAAAGAGCCTTTACACACTGGCTGAGCAACATTTATGAGAGCAGTCTGGCAACTTTGAGCAACATCAGAGGAGAAAGTTACAGCATATTCAAGTCACTGGTAAAATTACAGTGAAGCACTCATTTCTATTTCCAGCTAAGCCCACAGGGAAGTCACTAAACCTAGGTCCCATTTCTCAACTCTGGCTATGAGTCCCAGTCCCAAGCAGTGTGGGAGCACCCTCCCAGCTCTCCTGCTGGTCCAACCAGGCTCAGAGCACACTGAACCTGAACTCTGCTACAGATCCATCAAATCTAAATGATCGTGGATGTCTTCAGAAGACAAAGTGATATAGATTCCTTAAACCCTAAAGCAGCATCTTACTCGAGACCAGCAACTGCAGACCTTCCTCCAGTGCAAACCAAGTGGCTTTCACGCTTGAAAGCAGTGGTGGAAACCTCTGCCAGAGCTCAAATGTGGGGTGACTGTAGGCCTGGGGCTCCCATCACCACCACGCTGCAGGCTCCAGTGGGCACCGTCCCTGCGGAGCCGTGTTTCCTCAGCACTGCCTGCTTCGCTGCCAACACTGGACAAAGTGCTCAGCAACAAGCACAGCTACATATGTTAGTGGAAAAAAGTAAAAGCTGAAATAAAAAGGAAATCCACAGGAGAGAGGTACCGAAGCAGGTAGCAGGAGTCACTCACCTCTGCGCAGCAGGGCTCCTCAGGATGCGCTGCTCCCAGCAAAAGCAGAGCAGATGCTGGGGGCTTGTGGATTTTATAGCGCAGGGAAGTGGGCTTGAAGGCGGAGGGAGTCAAGAGGTGGACCAGGAGGACGTCAGCAGTGCTGGAGAGCAAAATTTAAATTCACAAAGGGAGGGGAAGAGAAGTGAGGCTCTGTTAAGAGAGCCATTGATCAGGGCAGGGAGCAGGAGCCAAGGGTAGTGCTAAGGGGCTGGGGCCGCGGGCAGACCGGAGCAGCATGGCTGCCACGTTCAGCACAGGGCAGAGCCCACCTCCCCATTGCCTGTAGCAGTCGTGCTCCTCTTCTTGCTGTCCCCAGCCGAGGCTGCATGTGGAGGAGCTCTCGTCTGACCCATGGCTGGGGCCAACTCAGCCTGCTTATGTGTGAGGCCCTGCAACTGATTGAACCCAGCCTGGTTCAGCAGCATGCCTAAGTGTGGATAAGTGCTGTGGCAGGGAAAACTTTCATCTGCACGAGGCTGAGATCTCGGGCAATTCTGCATTTCTACAGCATCCATCTCACTGGCACAGTTGTTTTTACTTCTCTCTCTTGACTAATGTATCAGCACATTCTTGCTGATAAGAATCCACTGTTCAACAGCTGTATTCACCACCAAGTTTTGCAGCAGCATTAGCGGCTGTTCCCCTCTTCCACTTCAGTCCTGAGGAGAGGCTGAAATGTGAAGGGACCAGGGTCTGAGCCACGGGGTTCTGTTCAGGCAGAGGATCCTGCTCTGTGCCTGGTGAGGCTGAGCATCTGCAGTGAGCACCTCCATAAATCTCCGCTCAGAGCAGCTGGCCCTGATATGCAACTCACTCCACAAGCTGAGAGTGAATAGGAAATACTGCAACAAGACCTGTTGTTTAGTTTTTCTATAAAGATGCCCCCATGCCTCGCCCTGACTTACTCAGTATCCAGGCATCAAGTGGGTAACCCCACCACCACCATTATCTCTGCCTGGGGAGGAGGTGATCACTAATTTGGGTGGTTAAAAAAAATCTACCTTTTATATAAAGCAGTTTTCTCTATGTGCGTGTATATGAACACACAGAGTAAAGCGTAAGAAATACTCTTCCTTTCTCCAGGTTCCACTTACTAACAGCTAAAAGAAGTGTCTTCCTCATCAAAGTTTTCAAGAGTTTACTCAGACTACTTAGGATCGTGTACAATAGCAGCATATGAAGAGCACTTGAAGTCTGAGATGGCACAAATGGTCTTTCTGCACCTAACACAATCAATATACACGCTTTCTGCAGCAACCTCCTATTAGCATGTTCACTTTGAACCTTGCAAATACCCCCTACTTAAAAATCAATCTGCTCCCAAGAGCCAGTTGGTGGCCGTGCTCCCATTGTGCTAATTCCATGTGCATGCCTGGAGAGGGTATCTTTTCAGTAAATAAAGCCCTTCAATGCTTTGGATCACAGATCTTTTCCCTACATGTTTATTTTGACCAGAAAATGTAGGTATCATTTCTTGAGCTCTAGTGAGCAATTGCCAGAGTGAGAGCTTTTTCTCTCCTGGATGTGTAGCACATATTCTTGTTTTGCTAAGTGACCCTATCATCTTAAAGCAGAAATAAAAACCAATTTACTCTTTCTAGTCTGGCTGCCACTGCAACTGCAATGGGAGCCTTTCGAGAGCAATGAGAATTTTCACTGGTTTACACCTACTCAGAAGTGACAAAACTGTGCAATACCTTCATGTTAACATGGTTTGCTGCTTATAGATAAACGCTGCCTGAAAAATAGCATGCCATACATAGAAAAAAAAACATTATTAGGAGAGCCAGCATTTAAAATGCTATAATATGCCCAGCTGCCTTCACTCAGGCCCCAGGTCCATCTACCGCAGCATCCTCTTGTTGGCAGCAGCCAGCAGAGAACATCTAGGTAAGACTCTGCAAAGAGGGGAATACATTTTGATGTTCCCCATGGGAATATTCTCCCAGGACCCTGAGACATGTGGCTCAGAGATTTCCCAAATCAAATGTGTCTTTGTAGCTGGGAGCTTTTAAAGGATTACTTTTTCTTTCATGGCTGCTTCTTGAACCCATGTAAATTCTCAGCATCCACAAAATCATGTGCCAGGGACTTCACAGCTGTCCCCCAGCTACAAAGATCACATCCATGCCTCTGTCCTGAGCACACCACCTGCCAGTTCCAAGTGTGTTTTCATGTTTGATTTTGGTCTTTCTGCCTTCATGAAATGTTACTATAAAATATTCTAAGTGATGAAGATTAATCAGCTATGAGACAGTCTACTTAAATGAGCCTTCTTAGGCATTTCTCTTACTACGGTACTATTTTACTCCATCCTCATTGACTGTAAGGTGTCTTTTTTTTTTTTTCCAGCAGACCACAACCAAACTACCTCAGTGCTCTATATGACACTCAGAAGCTTCACATCAATCATTTGGTTTTCTCAGAGTCATTTCAGGCAACTGTGATCTCCGTTTATTTTATTATTGTGATCTTCATTTATTTCATTACGCTGTTCATAGCAAGGTTTATGCTTTGAGGAAAGCAAGGCTGCACAGAAAAGCAAAAAACATTCCTAATTGGAAGTAACTGGGAAAGATCAAAAGAATGGAATTAATAAGAGAGTGACTTGGGAAAATCATCTAAAGGACATCCTGGTGTGCAGTGAAGAGGCAGAAGATTCTGCATTAAAACTTCAATCCTTCTGTGTTTAGGGAGAAGTTGGGCACGCTGACAAACAGAAGGTGAAAACCACCAAAGCACATTCAATACAAGTGGATAGAGAAATAAGGTGTTCTGTTTTTTTTTTTTTCCAGCCCATCACTCTCACTGTTTCACATACCAGAATGCAAACAGTTTGAAAATGCCGTGGTGCTGAATGTCTGCATGAGCCATGAATCTGCTCTGCTTTCCATACTGCAGTACAGCATGACTTCTGTACATGAAAAGAAGTAGTAAAACGTCACTATTCTGATTTGGCTTATCTTTGAATAAGAGGGAGGGATTTGTTCTGTCTGGAAATTCTGAATTGACATTAACTAGGAAATATTTAATCAGTGATTGCGGAGACATCCAGCTGCACTAACTGAGCTTCAGAAAACCATGTCAGGCAACTAGATGTGGATGTTAATTACATGTGGAATTACACTGAAGCCATTCTCTACTAATATTCAGGTTCCAAGAGAAGCCAGGACTGGCTGTATTTTGGAGTAATTTTCTTCTTTGAGAAGCAGGACCATCTAGTGGCTAAGACAGAAATTATCTTCTTGTTTATCACAGAGCAACGAATGTCCATAGCTTTCACATGAAAGGATGTGTATGTCTAAATTCTAAATGTATACTCAAAGCTAAACCAAACGGCATATGACCCAGATCTCTAGGAAGCTGGACTGCATATTCAATGTGCTTATCACTAGCAAGGTGCCAAGTTTTCCCAGTTCTCCCAGTTAGCACAGGCTTACTGGGGAGCTCAGGCATGGGCTGCATGCAGCTCAGGGCATTGACCAATTTCCCTAAGCCCTTCTTTGGCACGCTGCAGCAGACTTAAAGCCCTGATGGAAAAATACAAGCCAGGCTTGGCGTGGTTACAGCCACCTTCCAAACCGCACTGCTGCAGACAGGGAGAATATTTCTTCTGAAACTTTTACTATTCTTCCTCCCCCCATTACATAGCCCTCTGAACAGCACTGAGGTATGCATGGCTTATGAATGCAGCTGGCTATGGTAGACAGTCATGCAGTAGGAGCAGGGAAGATTACGGTTCAAGAAAAGAAATGGTGGTTGGAAATATTTTGGCCTGTCTTGAAGCATCCAGCGCTTCATTCCAGCATTCTGACATAACTGGGGGTTACTGCTGGGTTCTGAATTAGCATAGCATTTTGCACAAAAGTGTACTTTTTGCCTGCGTTATATTTAATTTTTCATCTGCAAGCCAATGAATCCCTGGATTTCATCCTTGGAGCTGATCCAGTCATAAATAACCTTAATGATTCACATACTACTTGACAGATGAACTGAAAAAAAAGAAAGTTCTAATTGCTATTCATAAACAGGCCTTGCAACCATTAGACTTAAATAGCTTGTAGCCATGATCAAGATAATTAGAAAAGATGTTCATCTTTTCCTGCACAACAGTTGCCAGGTTATACATTAGTCATGTAATGGCAGGAGTATCATACCCAATCCATTCTTTGAGCACTGATATCTAGTAGATACCAGTGAGTAAGATTAACTCCAGCCTGGGCTCTCCAACAATTAGACACAATCTAAAATTTAACCCTAAGCAACAACAAATCTGGTTTCCACATGGGTTTTATGCCTATTTTAACTGCTAATATCTTTATTTATTTATTTATTTATTTATTTTTCTGCTGCTGCTGCTGCTGCTGCACAGTTGCTACACAAGAATTCCTGTCTTACAAAGGAGTTTTACAGTATCCCAGATACAAAGCGCAGTGTGAGCAGATTGGAAAGTGGTAACATCACAGAGCAACAGGTGGTGACATCATCAAGAGAAGGACTGTGACCACACCACCCTCGCTGAGCACCTTTGGGCGCGGGCAGAGCCTGGCCCAGTTTGTTCGTGCCTGGACTCCTGTCGAGCGTGTGTGCGAGGCTTGGAGGTGGAACGAGCGTTTGGCTTGGGTGTTGGGTTGTGCTTTGGGGACTGTGGGCAGCGGCTCTCAGTGCCCATCCCTACAGCCACCACCTGCATTTCCCTGGCCTGTCTGGCTCAGGCAGCCAGGGTCCTACGAGGCGCACGCGTAACAGCAGAGGTGAGCTGGGCGGGGACACGTCCCCCAGGGTGGAAATGGGGTGAGCGCTGGGACGTGGGGAGCTGCCAGGGCCGAAGCACGACCCTGTGGGAGTGTGGGGCGGCCCAGGCATGGGACCAGGAGGGGTTCCTGCCGAGGGACTGGCAAATTTCTTCTGCCTGACCCTGGCACAGCGACTGACCGTGGCCTCTCTCCCTTCTCGCAGTGCGCAACTTTCATCACTGTGGTGCTGGTGAGGGCGGAGCAGATCCTCGCCTTCAGTCTCCAGCAGGCCACAGCGTGAGCATCATGGCAGCTGAGCAGGCATGGATGTGTCCCATCTGCCGTGATGAGCGAAAG